AAAAAAAAAAAAAAGAAGAAGGCAGGCTGAATGTAAGAAAATAGGGAAAAGTAGAGACCGGTAAACTGGAGACCCCTTGCTTTGTCTAAGGGGCCAGTGAATTTTGAGTGGTGGTCCACACCTCTAATCCCAGCGCTCAGGAGGCTGGGGTGGGAGATTCCTATGGGAGCTCAAGGCCAGCCCAAACTATAGAGTGAGACCCTGTTTCAAAGAAAAAGAAGAAGACAAGGAAGAGGAGGAACATGAGGAAGAGGAGGAGGAGGAGGAAGTGGAAGAGGTGGAGGAGGAAAATTCTAAGGGTAGAGATTCATGCAACCTGGAAAGAACTACTTAATATAAGGAGAATTAGAGAAGGGCTCAGCAATGAAGGCTATTGATGCTAGAACTTCCACTCCTACCCATAACTCCCTGCTGCAAGCTCCACCTGTCAGTCTGGCCTCAGCTACTGCCACTCCCACCTGGGTAAGTCATAGGCGGCCCTCTGAACGTTTCACAGCTGAGCCAGCAGCTGCATGCCAAACTGGTTCTGTAAAGTGACAAGCCAGGGCCTGCTGGCTGCAGGGTCTTCAAAATCAGACTTCTGGTGCCCAGGCCACCACCCTCCCCAGAGTCTTAGCCCGGCTCACCTGGCCTCTTGGCATAAGGAGAGGCTTCAAGCCTGCAGGGGTGCAGAGCCAGTGGGGGAGCCATAATCCCCCCTCCCCACACCTCTAGCCAAGCTAGCTTTCTAGGTAGTCGCCCAATTTCACCACCCAAAGTGCTGACAAGAGGCATTGTCATCCCGGTGCTGCACAGGGAGACAGGCCAGACCCCGGGAGGAGAAGGGCTGCCCCTGGCTGGGGTGCCCACACAGGCCCGAGGGTAACAGTCTTCACGCAGTGTTTGCAGAGCCTGTGTTGTCTTCGGTTCCTTCATCATCTGCAGGCGAACTGGACTGGAGGAATCTGATTAGAAGGGAAAGAGCCAGCTTAGCAGAGCAGGAGCGCGAGGGTTGCTTTCCTGAGCGGGCACCATAGCACCAGGCAGAAGAGCCTGGGTCAATGCTTCTGCATTAGAATTTCAGCACTAGCTTCACAGCAATCACCAGGCAAAAAAGACGAAGAGGAAGAGGAAGAGGACTTTGAGATCTGGGGGCCAGAGGCTAGAATCTCTGTCTCGGGAATAATCGTGACAGTAATGATACCTCATTATAAGTGTGCTTCGTGAGTGTCCAGGTTACCTTCATAGACATGCTCTCACTTGATCCCTGCTGCAGCCCAGTGAGGCAGGCAGACATTATTCACCCACCTGAAATACAGAGACTCTAAGTCTCACCAAGGTGAGTGATTTGCCCAAAGTCACAGTCATAAGAAAGTGGCCAAGGCAGGGCCTGAATCAATGATCAGGGAAATTAGAACTGCTCTGGGACAACCTGGAACTTGGGACTATGCTCCTGCCTCAGCCTCCCATGGACTGAAATTACAGGCATGTCACTGCGCCCGGCTCAGCTAGAGGTTCTTGCAGGATGAAGGGAGCTCAAGGAATGAGGGGGAGCTCTGGCCTTCCACTGGTGACTCCAGGAAATATGGGGCTTCGCGAATCTGTGGTCAGCAGAGAGGCCTGTGTGGTCTGGCATGACGCAGCCATCGCAACAGACCTGTGGACAGCTTCATCGCTCTCTTGGCTGCCGGGTAGGAAGAGTTTTTCTGTTCCCCTCATGCCGCCCCCTGAGTCAGCGCTCTGCCATTGCCCTGGCATGTCCCGGGCCCCACACCCAGGCAGTGAGGAGATGCTGGCCGATTGCCCGGGGAACGCTACTGTTTTAACTCCAGCTAAGTCCTAATAATAACCCTTTCCCAGAGGCAGACCCACAATGGCTGTATGGGGCCTGTGGCTTACAGGCACAGGGTGAGCCTCCCCTGCCCCTCGGACTTTTTGACCCAGGCAGCACCTGAGACGCACAGGCCTTTACTGGATGGCTGTTGCCCAAGAAGCAATGCAGGAACCAAATCCATTTTATAAACCTCGGCTGAGCCAGACTCCAGCCTCTACTTGGGTTTCTGGTCACATCCAAATAGCTAGGGAGGGAGTTGCTTTTGGACAGAATGGGGGAAAAGAGCCAAGACACCAGGCTGAAGCTGGCTCAGCTGTTTCTGGGGCTCTGACTCAGGAACTGCTTCTCAGGAATGTTGAGCCCATGGGCCTCGGAGCCCCCTGTCCTTGCACAGTGAGATGAGCTTCTGAAAGGGGAGGTTGTAGCCTTCTCTGTCTCCTCTGAGAAACCACTCTTGGGCTAGGGATTTAGCTCAGTGGTTCTGCCGCCTGCCTTGCAAGCACAAGGACCCAAATTTGATCCCAGTACCAAACAACAATAACAACAACAACAAAAAACAAAAAAGCCACTCTTGGGCAGGTAGAATGACCATCCTGGAAGGCTGCAGACCCTGCCAGGAAGGAAGGGGAGGGGAGAGGAGGAAAAAAGGAAGAAGGGAGGAAGGCAGGCTCCACTCCCCAGACCCTTGGGATCTGTCTACCCCCAGCCATGACTGCAGCAACCAACTTGCTTTTGGTAAATTGCTGCTTTGCATTGGCAGTAGGTCTCTATCGCTCTATCTTATCTCCCCAACTCTGTTTGAAGTTCCTTGACCTCATGTTTCTGGGGGAAGAGAATGCCCAGAATATTCATGCATTTGATAAATATGTTACAGATACTCTGGGGAAAAGGAGTAAAGCAAACAAGAAGCACAGAGAAATCGGTGATGAGGCAAGCAGGCTGATTCATATCCCCAAATATGGAGAATCTACTTCCCTTCCCAAGCAAAGCTCCCAGACCACTTGGAGAAGGGAGAGCTGAAAGAGTGCACGGAAGCTGGGCACAGTGGCACATGTCTATAATCCCAGCACTAGTGAGGCTGAGGCAGGAGGATCATTGGGAGTTTGTGATCAGCCTGGGCTACGTAGTGAGTGCAAGGCCAGCCTGAAACATATAATGAGGCCCTGTCTCAAAAAACCAAAACGAGGGGCTGGGGATTTAGCCCAGTGGTTCCACTGCCTGCCTTGCAAGCACAAGGTCCCAAGTTCAATCCCCAGTACCAAAAAAAAGAAAGAAAGAAAAAACCAAAACGAGGGGCTGGGGATTTAGCCCAGTGGTTCCACTGCCTGCCTTGCAAGCACAAGGTCCCAAGTTCAATCCCCAGTACCAAAAAAAAGAAAGAAAGAAAAAAACAAAACGAAAGAAAAGTTGCACTATTCTTTCTTTATTCCCAGTTCCCACCGTGAACCCAGATGCCTCAGACATGTCAGGAGAAAGCAGGAATCCTTCCATCTCCAAAGAGGTGGAATCACAGCAATCACCAGCCAAAAAAGATGAATAGGAGGACTTTGAGATTTGGGGGCCAGAGGCTCTGCACTGACTTTGTAAATGCGGGCACAAGCTCTTTGCTTGTGGCCTTTGTTTCAGTTCCCTCAACAGGACTGATAATCCACAGTGAACGTAGCCCTAGGGAGACCCAGCCTTGAACAAAAATCAAGTCACAGCCTATTACTCTGCAATAATTACAGCTTTGTCTGCACGGGACATTAGATCCTAAGCGCTGGGAGGGCAGGACAAGAGTCTGTCTTGTTCCCCTAGCTTGTCTCAGAGTCTAGCGTGCAGCACGTACACAGCAGGCACTGACAAACATTTGTGCACAGGGGCAGCTGGAACTTGCCAGTCCGCTCCTGCTATCTTTCTGATATCAGCAACTCTTACTGTGGAACTCATTCTAGATCCGAGACTCTGATTATCTATTGAAAGAAACTGGAGCTGGAAGCACTGATAGACTAAGGGCCCCAGGGTTCTAGAACAAGCTTGTGTTAGCAAGGACTCCAGGCGCGAGGTCAGCCGCGTTATCCCTGCTAGCTGTAAAACCCAGCCTACGGCGGCCTCTAGTGGACAA